ATTGACTGTAGAGAAACAGGAGGAAACTTTTTGGGTAATGGTGGTATGTTCATATCATGGCGGTTGTGGTGGTGGTGGTTATATCATTTGACCCATTTGTCAAAATACAGTTAACATGGCTGAATTCTACTGTATGTCACTTATATCTCAACAAAGCACATTTCATATGATATCTATCTATCTGTAGGTATAGTAACCCGATATACCATTTCTATTCTTTGTATCTGACTCAGACGAGGCAAAATTTGGGAACCCTTTGGCAATAGAAAAAAAGCATGGCTTAATTTCAAAGTGCAGAGCTGGGAGTTGTCGTAAAAGAGTTATAGCTGCAGGAATCATGGCCCACAAGTTGCCAAGACTTCGCTGGATGAATTACATCCAAGATACGCCTTCTAGTCTCTCATGGTCTTGGGCACCAGAAAGTGGGTCATCTTTCAGATTATCTGCGTCATCGTGGAGAACATGTTAGTAAATCAAAGACCAGCTGGATTTGTTCTTAAATTGGCAAAACACTTGCCTACTTGGAAGTACTACTAATCCTCTCATTCGCTGGACAGGGAAGATTGGTTTTATGGTCTCGATTACCTTCGTTTTTGACGAGTGCTTCATAGTGTTTTAGTAGAGGATAGGCATTAAGCTTGTGCTTTGGTAAACCAGAGGTCATGTGATGGTTTGGTTCTAAATTTTCAAAGTTTGAAATTAAGTCAAATACTAAATATTTTTATCAAGTAAACCTAAGTACTGAAGCAACTATTTTACTTTTTTTGTACTAAATTATTTTGCCTGTAATATTCAGTTATTAATGCAAAAGCATTATTCTGGACTGAATTCTCCAAATAACTATGCTTTTGGGAACATGTAACAGAAAATCAAATTAAATGGGCTTAGACGATAAGCACATTTCTTGGCTTGTGTATCTGGAAATCTAGAGTTATAGCATCATGTAGGGTTGGCCAGACCTGGGTCTCAGCAACCTCATCAGGCCATGGTTTCTCCCTCTGTCTGCTATGCTGACAGGCAGCTTCATCACTGAACCGGTTCCCTTCTGGGTGTAGGGTGGCTGCTGAGACCTATTTGAGCCCACCATTTCTTCATTAACTCCCAGAGGGGAGAGAGAGAGAACATGCCTTCAGGAACCTCTGACTTAAGAGCAGTGAGGGACTTTTCCAGAAGCCCTTTTCTCTTTGGCTCAAACTGGGTCACCTACGTATTCCTCCATAGTTCAGAATGGGGTCGCATGGCCAATCGCTAGCACAGAGAATGGAACTAGGCTTCGATTAATTATCAGGCCCTCCCCTGTAACTGAAAACCGAGTCAGCTCCGCAGAGAACATGAATTGATGACTTGGCAGGTGAGAGGGTTGGGTAGGTGTAGTGGGGGTTCTATTAAGACAGAGAAAGAATGATACTGAGTCAACAGCAAAAAGGTACAGGAGTGTCTCATTTAAATCCCTTACTTTAAAAGTGAGCTATTTTTTTTGTTACAAAAAATAATATAGGTTTACATTTTAATTTGAGGATATTTATAGTCAAAAAGAAGAAAATAAAAGCCATCATAATCCCACTGCTGTGTGAGAACCATTAGTGAGATGATATAAGCATACTTTTAAATGATAAAATACATATTATTCTCTGGAGAAGGAGTATACCGTGATGGTTAGCCATGCGGCCTTCGGCGTCGACCTCCTGCTTCAACTCCTTGCTGGGAAAGCTGCTTAGCCTCCCTGTGTCTCAACTTCTCCCTCATTGTAAGGGAAATGAGAGGTCAGCAACCTACAGCCTGTGGGCCAACCTGGCTTGTTGCCTATTTTTGTAAATAAAGTTTTATGGGACCCAGCCACAGTCTTCCACTGATGCACCCATCCATGGCTGCTCTCGCACTGCAATGGCAAAGTTAAATTGTTCTGACCAAGACTGCATAGCCCACACGCCCCGAAGTACTTATGGTATGGCTCTTTGCGGAAAAGTTTGCTGACCTCTGGGTTAGACCATCAGACTTTTGTTGCCTTATTGTCATAATTGTGTGGTCCTGTGGTAACGTCACCAGCCTGGAGACTGGTGATCGGGAAGAACTGACATCTGCAGAGCTAACATGAAGGCAAGAGATGCTTAGTTATTTAATCAGTTAGAAAGAGTTAAGAACCATGAGTAATTGAAAAATGTATAAAGGTGCATAGATGTCAAGTTATCTACCTGAACTGAGCAGAGAACTTGAAATACATGATGTATGATTTCCTTTGAATGCTGAGATGTGGACATTGGGACCTGAAAGAAAACAAATTTGTCCACCGTCTGATTTGGTGGATAGAAGTCATAGCTACAGGCAGGAAATCAGAAGCCTGAAGAGGAAGTAAGAGAACCCGTAATAAATAAATTGTTGAGAATACTGCTTTTGAGAAGGAAAGAAAACAGTTGCCACCTGTGAGCGCTGGGTGAACAGTGGTGCAGATGTGTCCAGTGTTGAGCAGCCATCAGGGACTCCCTGCAGAGAGCAGAGGTGTCTGCAGCGAGCATGACTGGGCCAAGCCACGTCTGAGTTGCCGAGAAGGCCCAAGTGAAAAGCAAAGAACCCCTGGGAAAGTGATTCACCCACTGAAGGAAACTGCCCTCACACTGTGAGTGGTTTTAGTCCTGCATCAAAAGACCCTCAAAATCTAAGTTATTTTAGTCAAAATAACTTTTTTATGAAACAGAGTTTTAACTAAAGATTACAGTCAAGTGCATAATATCCTTCTTTTAAAATACATAGAAGTGACCATCAACTACAAAGCAGTTTTCTAGAATAAGGAGCTTCTTATACATGCAGCAGTGCAGTGCAGGGAATAAGAAGTCAGCTCTCCATCAACTGCCTGATTTCAAATCCGGGCTCAGCTCTCTTCCTTCTGTCTAATCCTTAATGTTCTAAGCCTTGTTTTTCTTATTTATAAAATAGAATTAATAAAAGTACTACCTTTAGAGAGTTTTGATGAAATTAAATAAACTAGTCCATGTAAAGTACTTAGCCCAGAATCCAGCAAGTATTACACACTCCATAGAAGTTACCATTTAATGTGAGCAATATATAGAAACTTATTGTGGAAAACATTTTGATAACCAACCATGTAATCATATATTGTTGTAATATACTAAGTCTTTTCACTTTTAGTATTCTTGCCTTATTTTTGGAACAGCAAATGTGAAGTAAAAAATAAATAAATCCTTCATTGGGGTCTTAGAATTTAGAAGATTAGCTCAGGACTTTTAATAAGCATTGTATTAGTTAGAGTGTAGGCCAACTTGCTGCTGAAACAGAGACCCAAAATGTGCAGTGATAACAAAAACAAAAATGGTCCTTCTCCCTCCCTGGAGGTGAGCAGCCCAGCCTGGGAGGCAGCTGTGCTCCCTGAGGCCCTCCGGGAACCAGGCTCTGTTTACCTGGTTTCTCCACCACCACCAGTGACAGGTTGTGTAGATGAAGTGGGTTCACCAGCAGCTTCTCTCGTTCCTCAGGAAGTGGAAGGTGCTAGATGAAGAGCAGGCCATCTCTTCTTTGAAGGGTTGGGTCCAGACGGTGTACACTTGGCTCCTATGCCCACCTCATTCCTGAGATCTTAGCCGCAGGCCACCCATAGTTGGGAGACTAGAAAATGTGACTTTAGCTAAGCAGCCATGTGCTCAACTAAAATTCAGTGGATTCTGTTATCAAAAGGGAGAAGGAAGGAATGGGTGGTGGAATCAGTTAGCAGTCTTCCATGGGTGCTGCCGTGGAAACTGCTGTTGTTTCACTGACTCCAAGGCACTATTGTTTTAAGACACCTCATCACTGAATGTGCACTAAATAAAAAAAAACCCATGCTATCTAATATCTAAACAGTGACACGTTGCTTTCTTACCAGCTCCATTGTAAGATGCATCCCAATTGAAGAGTTGATAAAATGTGAAAAATATGTGTCTTGGTATAGAAGAAATGCAGTGCTGGAAAGATGCAGGAAAAGGAAGTGACCCACAGACATCCGTGTTGCAGTCTTCTGGTGTGAGAAAGAGAGAGAGAGAGAGAGAGTGTGTGTGTGTGTGTGTGTGTGTGAGTGTGAGTGTGTGCATGTGAGTGTGTGTGTGTGTGTGAAACTTTCCTTGGAGCAGGCATGGGCAGGAAGTATCAAGCTTCGGGTGACCATAATGTTTCAAATAGGTGATTGAGAAGGTACTGTCGGTGTGAATTTCCTCTAAGTCAGATGCCTGTGGCTGCTTGGGAAGAAACTTGGCTCAAAGGTGTGGGGAAATTTTGCTTAGATTTCCATTCAATCTGGACCAGATCTGAAGTTGATAATCAGACAGGAGGGGTCCCATCTTTACCAGTCAGGGTTTTCACTGAATAGAAGGACAAAGACTGAGGGCCACACTCTGTGGCCAAGACACTTGACTTCTTGTTTGAACACTCAGTCTGTGGCCAAAACTGGTTGAGCACCAGGGACTTGGCTTGGTGCTGCAATACAGCCCCTGCCCTCCACGAGCTCCAGGGCTCACGGAAGAAGGAAGACCAGAAAGGGGCAAGATTCCAGTAAACAGACAGGAGCAAACGACACCTTTGGGGCCACGCTTGCTTTTGAACTTAACATTACTCTATCTCATTTGTCAACGTAAGGTTTGAGGATTTAATAAAGGACCCCACCTACTTTGCCACTTTTACACCCATTTCCTCCACATTAATAAGTGCACAAATGTATTTTATTTTAGAACGCACTTTCTTCCCTTGTTCACTCAGAGCAGCTTAGTATAAGGTACTGCGGATGTTCACCTAGGAATGGATTCTCAGTGCAGCAGACTCATCATTGTGAATATGACTATTAAAAAAGGCTGGATAACCAGACTGCATTCTCAGGTTTTCAGATTTGATAGGGCAGACCCTGGTCAGTTCAGTGAGATCATTTGGTTAGGTGGCTTTGAATCTGGTCAATGACAAATCTATAATATGCAGGTGTTTCTTGCTATATATTGCTACTGAAATCTGCTTCTCTTATATAGATCACTGTTACAGATGAGGAGGTTAGTAATCCATCCTTTTTAGATCTGGTGAGAACTCCCCAAATGAGGAAGTGCACACTTATACTTATGTTTGCTTGGTAAGTTTGACTTGTGATGATTCAAAAGCTTGTGTCAAATTTACAATGCATCCCTTTCTTCAAAGCAGGTTGAAGTCATCTCTGATTTGTTCTCTGTTGTCTTTCAATATTGCTCCAGGTTCACAAGTGCAGTGGTCTATCAGGGCCTCGTCATGCGCCTGGGGATTATAGGAGGCAACCTCTATGTCGACTTTTTCATCTCAGGAGTTGTGGAACTGCCAGGAGCCCTCTTGATCTTACTCACCATTGAGCGTTTTGGACGACGCCTTCCCTTTGCAGCAAGCAATCTAGTGGCAGGAGTGGCATGCCTTGTCACCGCATTCTTGTCGGAAGGTAACTGTTCCCCAGATCTGTTTGGCAGCTAAGAACTTGAAAAAAATCTGAAATCAGAATACTCAAGAATGATGACCTCTTGTCCTTAGAAAATGTACCACTGCATCAAAATCTTAGTGCCAGGCACCCTCTAGTGACGTCACTCATTTTCTGCTTAATCAGCATAATGACTTTGCTTATGAGATCGGTTCTACAGATTTTTCTGTTTTCTCTATTTTTAGGTCTATTGATGGAGGAAATGGATGTGCATAATCTAGTTCATAGTGATGTCATTTACTTTTGATCACCTTTCTCTGATTTACTTTTATGATACTATATGTTGGCCATGCTTAACATATTTCCTGAGCATCTTCTCTATCACTGGCCCCATGCAAAACACCAGGTTATGAAAGGAAGAAAAGCATATTTCTTGAGTTCTAAAGGTTCATGACCTAGTAAGGATATAGACACTTTGATGCTCTCATAACTCACTGTGATAAATGAATTAATAGAATTATTTATAAGCTTACAGAAATAGAAAAAAAAAGTAGGTCCAAGAAATGATTAATCAGGAAGAGCTTCCCAGAGGTGAGAACTGGGCATGTATGAAGAAGGAAAAGAAATCTATGGGGCACAAAGGAGGGCAGGAGTGACTTTTCCCAACTAGAGCACAGTTCTTGGAAGTGTGACCCCCCCTTTGAGGGGTCAGGAGCTGAATGTCCTTTGTTATCACGGGAATATCCAGGCAAGGGGACTCAGAGAGACTGTTGCCAGCTGTGAATGGCCTCACAGGTCACCCCAGGGGCCTGGGCATGGTCCTGTGGGCATCGGGAGGAGGAGCGTGGCCTCCTCGTAGTAGCAGGAGTTTGAAAAATGGCCATGAGGAAGGAGAGATGCTGAGAGTGGGAATCGAGGCCATGTGCATCAGGCCTGCACGGGAGAGGGTAATTTCAGAGATGTGGCAGACTTAAATTTGGGGGTTTTGGTGACTGACGCACAGTACAGAGGTTGTGGGTGATTCCAAACTGTTAACACAACCCAGATTATCTCTGCCATGGAACAGAGCAGGCACCAGACAGAGAAGGCCTTTCAAACTCCCAGGGAATTTGTGAATTAGAGCAAGTTAATTATTTTGTGTTCCAGGGGCTATGGCTTGGGGGGTCACTGAAAGAGCTGGATTCTCTGATAGTCCTTTGTGTCAGCACAAGAGAGGCTGTCTTGTCTTTGAGAATCCTCCGAGGATCAGGCAAGAACTGAGTCAAAACAGGCAGATTATTTATAACCGAGTTTAGTAACTTATGAAGGTTTATGAAGTCCCAAAACATCAGATGGACCCTATTTAAATAAAATTACAGAAATGGTCATCTTGTAAACAGAAGAGAAAAGAGATGTAAAGTCCGCTGTCATATCAGAGTAGTGATGACAGACACAACTATTTACATGCATCTCATTTTCCTGAAGCAAATTGGTTTCCTAGGGCTGAAGTAACAAATTACCACAAACTGCGAGGCTTGCACCAATGGAAATTCACTTCCTCACATTCCTGAAGCTGCAAATCTGAAATGCAGGTGGGGGCAGGGCTGTGCTCTCTCTGAAGGTTCTAGATGAGAATCCCTCCTTGCCTCTTCCAGCCTCTGATGGTTGCCAGCAATTCTTGGCATTCCTTGACAGCATTGCAGTCTTTGCCTTCATCTTCACATGACCTTCTCGTCCCCGTGTCTTAACTATCACATCTACAAAGACTTTATTCTGAAATAAGGTCATGCTCTGAGGTCCTGGGTGGACATGAACTTTGAGGGATACCATTCAACCCAGTAGCTTGAGTTAACACATTCTGAGTGTTGGGGAATCTGTATAATCAGTATAAGTCAGTACGTGTCTATGTAGTTTCTGTTAGTTGCTACTATTAAACTAGGAATGGGGGTAGTCTAGAGAACATGATAGACATAATTCCTGTACTGAGGAATCACATACAATTTAAGTAGAAGGGTGACAGATCTGGAACACTGGAGATTTCGCTGTTGTTTCTATTTTACTTCGATGCTGTATAATTTAAGGTTTAATTTTGGAATGAAGTCCCCTAAGATGAGGTCTTCTCTTCTCATCACATATGAAGTAGGAATTAACTATTCATTGCACATGAAATTAGGAAAGTAGAAAGATCAATGGCTTAAGTGTAGCCTGTTATTTCACAATGAAACTTTCCCCTTGAAGGTTTCACCTGCCTTTAGTCTGTTTGGGATGATTTTTGTTTGTTGTGTTCAGCACAATCTCACAGCTTTCAAGACCATGTGTTCAAACTGATGTTGAAGTAACTGAGTGGAAATCAAGCCAGTTTGAAGAGAACACTTTCCTATGTTGGGAAGTATAAGGCAAAGCATAGACTTTTCTGTTTGTTCTGATCAGTTTAATTTTGTAGACATATTTCCCTGATTTAAGCTTTAGAATTGTTTTTGGCAGTATTGAAAACTAATCGCTCTTTTTCTGGACACATTACATTTGTTTATTCTGCAGATCTGGCTGTTTTTATAGCCACCCTTCGGTCATGATTGACTGGCAGGAGGAACTTCAAATCCCTAATGCTCCATTTGAGTCCCAAATATTAACAGAGGCTCCTCACTGTGGTAGACAGCCCTTACTTCCACTTAAGGGAGCATTTGGACTTGGTTGCTGGGGCTGTTGAATTAACATTAGAAAGACTTTTCCTCTCCCTAGCTCTCTACAGTATCAGCAGGAAGATAGCCCCTGCACAGAATACTGATTAGTCTTCTAGAGGAGTGAGCTCCAAAATTTCCTCATAGAGAACAGTTTAACTGGCTTCTCCTCCACTAAGCATGAATTTTTATGGTCTGAAGAATGAAATTCTAGAAAAAGAAAGTCGTTCTGGTTGTATGCTCATTGAAGACTCAGTACTTTTGACCCAAATTTTTGAATACTAATTAAAATCTGAATAATTAAGAGCTTTCATTATCCATACCCATCTGCCATCTTTAATTTGGGCTTGTTTGGGTTTATTTAGGATGGCTACAAGCCTACCACTTTGATAAGTCTTCCTGACATGAAAAAGTTGTCTTTTAGTTTCATTTCTCTTTAAATGAAAAGTCCGCCTATCTTTATTTACATATCTTTGTTAGGAATGTTCACTGCATTTTATTTCAGGACTCGGAGAAGGTGGTACATTCCCAGGAGACATGAAATTATATTTAAAATCCTGCATCCTTTCTTCAAAAATTAAAGTATTATTCCCAATAGTCTCTAGTAGCTTGACCAAATCTCCATTCAGAGAGACCCTCCTTCTCTGCTCTCAGGACCCCATGGGAGGGAGTTCCAGCTTCAGGACTCATTCTTAAATCGTCATGTGTTTCTTTTATCATTGCTACCAGAAGATATCTATTGCCATTCCAAGATAAACTTAGTATGTTACTGGGATAACCAAAAGTTTTTTGTGTGCACACATAATATTCACACATCATTTACACAAGCGAAATTATTTTCATTTCACTCTTTAGTTAATGGGCAGGGCAGTGCCTTTGGGATTTCTTGCTACCCTTTTTAACAAAATCTCTATCCCCCGGTGTAGTCAGACACTGGCCTCTACTGCTTGGAATGAGTTGAGAGATATTCAAATGCAAGTCAGTGTGTAGGACAGACCATGTCTCCTCAAGGGTATCAGCTTAACAGTGTCTCCTGCACGTTTTACTGACTCCACTAGGTATTTATCTGTATTCACTGTGCTAACCACATATGTTTCTCATGTGTGTGTGTGTTTGTTTTAATTTGGCTTCTCATTGTTGTTTGGTTCTTCCCAGCAAACAGTCCTAGCCTCAGCTGTCATCTTAAACTGTCCTTGCAGCTGTCACAGGGACTCACATGGGCAGCAGTCTTAACTCAGTAGGAAAAACCTAGAACTTATGACCCTAACCTGGACAATCAGGTTATGTTCACAGCAGCAGGTGGTATTCTTCTGGGCAGGCTGGGAGCAGGGAGAGGTGGCCCACTTGGGCTCGGACCCAGGGAATCTGGGCACTGGCTCTCACTTTCCACTCCCCAGCACCTGGCTCTGCACCTCCTGCTCAGTGAAGGCAGTGGTGGAATGCATTTCCTAGTCCCCCTCCCTTAATGAAAAAGTAAAGCCTAAATAAAACACGTGTTTACAGCTGACCTGTGCCAGAGCAGATGGCAGCCTAGTGCATCAGCGCAGTGCTGGTGATTGCTCACTCCCTGATCTAACTGATAACGTGACAGCGACAGGGGCTCTCATCTGGGAAAAATACCAGGATGTCCTTGGCCAGTTTGCTATCAAAATATAATCAATTGGAGCTTCCTGGTGATGATCTGGATTCTTAAACCTTTTTATTTTTTCTCTTCTTGCCTTCCTCGGCAATTATTTTGTTTAGTAAGTTTTAGCTTTTTAAATTTGTTAAATATTTTCTAGAGAGAACACATGAGAGCCCTTAGTGCTGAGTGAGCCTAAATAAGTATAAAAGGGTAAGGATTTGTTTTCAAAGACGGAAATCAGACACATGCTGGACGTCCTTAGCTTTGCTTCAGAGAACAGACATGCTTCTGTGTCAGGCAGGCATATGTCCTCATACCAAATTCACTAAGAAAGGATGGCATAAATTGCACATCCTTGGTTAAGAAACAGATTTCTTAAGAAATTTATTGACTTGAGAGCAAAAATGGTTTACTCCTTCTTCCCTTAAAACACAGAAGGAAGAACATATTTCATAGAGAGCACTTGGCATTTCCCACGAGTTCCTATGCAGAAGAGTTTCCTCATATAACCAGAGCCCTGAAATTGTTCAGTTTTACATGAGTGAACCAACTAGCATTTTGGAATCTGGCTCCTTCTGGATCACTTCTTGGGGGAAGTAGGAAGATTGGGGATGAGGACAACGAATGAATGCCCCCTAGTGACATCACAGGCATAGGTGGCCCTTTCCGAGATCGAGTCCTTGAAGCCTTACTACTCTTTAGAAACAAAGTCAGTTGCGTGTCCAGATTTTCCTGCTGGGTTGGAAACAGCTCTTCTGTGTGTTATCACTACAGAGTATGAGCAGAAAGGGGGCAAAAGGGGTCCAGACTGTGGGCAGTTTTCAAGGGCTTAACCAAAGACTCCTTCCATGTAAAAGGCCAGGGTGTTCAGGCCTTCTAGGAAAGGCAATGCCTGGAACCTGGTTTTCATTGTAGCAGCTGCTCTACAAACAGTTCTTGAATTATATGTTTATAAGAAAGTCAGCTAGTTCACTAAATATGAGCCATCATCTTGGTGGTGGTTATTGCTGTGGAAATTTGGCTGCAATATTAGAAAGTATCTATCATTTGTGCTTAAAATTAGCAAAGACTTTAGGGCTGGGAGAATACTAAGCAAATGCTTTTTGTTGGTGTATGAAATTCTGTTGAAAGCAGACCCCTGACTCTTCCCTTCCAAACTTTCTGTGTCTGCAGGAATACCATGGTTGAGGACCACAGTCGCTACCCTGGGAAGACTAGGGATTACCATGGCCTTTGAAATTGTTTATTTGGTAAATTCAGAATTGTACCCAACAACATTACGGTAATTCTAACATATATGTCATGATTTCTCCTAAGTAATTCTGCAGCCAAATGTTTTGACTTAAAAACCATGAAATAGCTTCCTTAGCTTCATGATATATTAGCCTGAGCTGAATTCAGTCAGTAACAAAGATATGCTTTGAGTTATAGCCGCTTTCTGCATTGAAACATTTTTTGAGAGAAGTATTTCTCATATCAGTATCTTTATACACAACCATGGTTTGGGGAAGTACCATGAGACTTGGAAACAGAAAACCTGGTTATCGTACTTGCTCAGAGGTGGGTTAAATGGGTCTTTATCAGCCTCACCCTGTTTAAGGCTACAGCCTCTATTTCAACCACACTCCACGTCTGGGAGCTGTGAACAGCTGGTCAGTGGAGGATGAAATGAAACAGCATGCGTGCACTGCAAATTGGCCTCCGTTCCTGGGGGACTGTTCATGGGCACACCTTACCGTCACAACAAGGTGCCACAGACCAGGCAGGCTACGAAATGAGCTGCTGATGGAAAATGACCTCACCCACACTGTAGACCGTCTCACTTTCCTACATGTGGCGCAGTATTTACTCAGGTGTGGCCTGGTGTCCAATGGATATGCCTGCTTAGAGTGAGGCACAAGTTGTTTTCAGAGTTAAAAACTATAGAAATGGAAAATATTGTTACTCTCTCCTTGTTACTTCTATATCTGCATATTTTACTTATCCTGAATTTACTTAAATATTTTTCATTTAAAACAGAAACTTTGGAGTTTCGCTTTGTTCAGGCTTGTGTGATTTTGGGGGGATCATAGCCCCATTTCTACTCTTCCGGCTAGCAGCTGTTTGGCTAGAACTACCTCTTATCATCTTCGGTAAGAATTCGTTTTATATACTGTTCTTAAACACTTTTATCTACATTCTTTGCATTAATAGAACTTTATAATGAAAATTAGATTTTATATTAATGATATCTATCTAATCTTTTTATGACAAGTTGTTTCATTTTTAAGTAGCCAATCTGATTACAGTGAAAACTGAAACCCTAAACAATTTCAATTTACTTTATACTAAAGGGTTGTGATGAACAGTATTCAATTTAGCTTTCTTTGTTTAGGTTCTGAGTTAAAATTGAATACTATGACATTCTTTTATGATATTGGGGAATCAAATTGGACCTATAGTATATTTAAAAATATACTGGACCTCACTTTGAAAAAAAATTTTAAAAGACTAAAAATGAATTGCATTTTTAAATGTTCTACATCTGTTGACATATCTTCATTTGCTTTAACGCTAAGTATGCTGTGCTGGGAGAACAGAGGACACAGAACCCCTTGCATATGTACCAGATCTTCTCTGATGCACTTAAGTTCATACCCTGCCCCTCCTACTCCAGACTTAATAGATAGGACCACAGCATAGGGAGGGCTTCGGGTGATTCAGTCCGACGGTGTTCCAGCCGCGCTGCCCAGGTCCCACACCCTCCTCTGCACCCCTCAGCAAGAGAGAACACCGACTGGCCCACTTCTTACTCACCTTTCCTCCACCTCCACATTAATCCTGGCAGAGAATGTTTTTCATTCATTGCTCAGCAATTTAAATCGCAGTGAAAATGTGGAGTCCATGGGGGCATATATCCTGAGTGATTTAAAAATCCTAACAGCTGGCTTCTAGCCATTCAACACTAGTGAACTTTGAAAAAGATCATTTCACATTATTTCATGGGATCTGATCCACATGCTCTGTGTGGATTCTGTGGCCAGCATGAAAAAGCAGAGAGAGCCATTTCTCAGCCAAGACATAGTGGACTAGGAGCCCAGTCATTACAACTGCTGCTGGCCTGCAAGGGGTCCTGGAGAAGCTGGGTGCTCCTACCACAGGGCAGGCCCTAACTGCAATGTCTGGCTGGGGAGGAAACCTGGTAAAGGCTGGAAGTAAAGGGTGCTGTCACACATCCCCGGGACACCTGACCGGTTGAGTCAAGGGGGGAACATCAGGGAGGAGGAAGGATGCCCAGGTTGAGATCTGCAGATGAGCAGCAGTTATCCCTGGGAGAAGTGTGGGCTGGTCCTCCCGGAGAGGGCGGGCCGAGAGCAGGAGGAGGAAGGGACTCTCAGCATCCGGGAGCTGAAGGAGGGGTTGCAGTGGGGGAGGTGGGGCCAGAAAGGGGATGCAGCTGGCGAGGCAGGCTGGGGCCGGACCACCTGGGGCCAGATCCAACCTGCCAGGGATTTGCCCTTGATCCGAACAGCAGGGGGAGCTTTCCAAGAGTGTCAAGCTGGGGTTGGCAGGGTTAGATTTGCAGTTCAGAAATATGGCTCCCGCGGCAAATATGCAAACGAAGTGGAGGGAGACACTGCTAGCAGTAAGACGGCTAGAAGGGCGTGTGTCATCAGGGACGAGGACATGGTGGCGGGGTTTCAGGGTCTGGCAGTGGGGCTGCTGAGGAGTGGACAGACCAAGAAATAGAAGTTAAACTGGCCAGACTGGACGGCTGACTGGGTGAGGCCCAGAGCGGGCAGGGAGAGGGGCGCCCCAGGCCCTGGCAGGAGCAGTGCGAGCAGCCCGGCCCTGGGTCCGCGAGCCCTGGAAGGCCGGGTCTGCCGGAGGACGCAGAGCGATTCCGTCTGGCCGTTTCTGGCATGAGCTGCCGCAGGAAATCCAGGTCGGGTCGTGAGAAGCTAGGAGGCCTGAGTTGCTGAGCCAGAGGAGCAGTGAGGCCCAGTGACAAAGGTTTGGAAGCCGTCCGAATGGGGATAACCACCGAAATGTGGGAGCGGCCGAGACCCCCCCAGTAAGCAGACCAGAGTGAGGAGGAGGAACAGGGCCCAGGACAGAGCCCGGAGGGCCACAGCGCAGCGGGTCAGGAGACAGGGACAGGAGCGGGTCAGGAGGCTGGGGGGTGCTGGAGGGGGGCCCGGGCGGGAAGCGGGGAGGCGGGCGTGCTGAGCAGCGGCCTCTGCTGCCACGAAGCCAGGCGGCGAGGCCGAGAGGCAGGGGCCCCTGGGTCTTCTACCAGCAAACCGCCAGGATGTGAAAAGGTGTAGAAGAAAGGGGAGGCTCCGAAGGCCAGCAGAGGGGGTGATGGAGGGCAAGGTGGGGCCGGGAGGGGGCTCCCTAGGCACGAGGGCCTGCGTGCGGCCCAGGGGAGCTGGAGAGACGCGACTGGGCACCGCGGTGAGGGGCCCAGGGACGGCCACGCGCACAAGTGGGGACAAGGCTCTACCCGACAGGCGGGAGGGGGACGGGGGGGCGGGGGGAGAGGACGCAGCGAGCCTCCAGTGCGGGAAAGGGCTGCGGGGCGTCCTGGGGGGGCTTCTACCGCCCCTGGGAAGCAGGAGGTGATCGCCTCTGAGGGGTGGGGGCTTAGTAAGTGCTCAGCGAAAAATCGTTAAATGAGTGAATGGTGGGCATCCGCCCAGAGGAGGGGGACCGGGCTGCACAGGGTCCCCGAAAGGTGGCGGCGTCTGAAGGCGGCAGACGCGCGGAGGGCGGAGGGCCCCCCAGCCGTAATGCCTTCCCCACCCGCAGGGATCCTGGCGTCTGTCTGCGGTGCCCTCGTGATGCTTTTGCCTGAAACCAGGGGGATAGCCTTGCCGGAGACAGTGGATGACGTAGAGAAGCTGGGCAGGTATTGTATGAGACAAATAAATAAAATATAATGAATATGGCTATATAAGTAAACACATATATAGGTAAGGAAAAGCAGCGTTTCAAACAACAGGGGAAGGGCCAGCCTCGAGGAAATGGAGTTCCCACAATGAAAAAGTTGTATTAAATCCCCATCTCACATCTTAAGCAAAGAATTCAAAGTAGATTTAAAAGGCTAATGTTAAAAAAAACCCAAACCTATAAAAGGATATATATTATCTTTTAAATGTGGTTATGAGTAGGGAAACATTCTCAAGTAAAGTGTTAAAACTCAGAAGCAATCTAAAGGAAAGGAATTGATGATTTGATAAAATAGAAGCAACTTAATTGGCATCAGTAGTAGACTCATTATGAAATGATAATTATTCATAACATGAAATTAGTATTAGTATACAGAGATGAAAGTAACAAATATCTGTCTATATGGAATGACATGGGAAGATTTTCAAGATTGATTATAAAGTGAAAAGTTGCTGAACAGTGTGTTATAGTATTTATTTACAAATAAATCCAATAGCAATCCCTCTCTGTAGCTAGGTGGGGAGATAGATGCATACATACATACATACATACATGTATACATACACAGATACATAGATAGATACATAGTTATGGACAGACAGATAGGAAGGACATAGGGGAAGAAGAGAGAGAGATTAAGTTTTAGAGAAGAGCATCTAAATGTTGGGCAGGGCAAGTTAATAAACATTCAGAGTTGTATCAACAAAAATTCACATTATAGAAATTCTTCCTAATTTTCTCTTCTTGAAATTTTTCACAATATAAAGATAGGAAGAGAGAATATGAATATGAGGATGTGCAGGAGAAGATCTAAAATGATAATACACACCCTCCGGGGGTAGATGGCTTGGGAAGAGGGTGGGGAAGGAAGGGCATCACTTTTATACTCCACAGACTTTCGTATTGTTTGGTTTATTTTTTAATTGAAACACATGACCTTGTATTACTTGTATGATGTTAAAAAATAATTTAACAGGTAATTTTAACAATAGAAATCAATCTTCTAAATAATCACCTGGAAATTTAGGTTGTGAATGTCTAATTTTTTTTTTACTGTATCAAAAATATTTCCAAGACTGAACTATTAGTAACTTCATGAAAGTTCTGTGTTCACTGGTTGACTGGGAAGAAACCAGAAGCTGACATTTGTTAAGTACCTGTGAGATCAATGGCTTCACATGCATAATTTCATTTAATACTCAAAACAGTTTTATGCAATAGAAGTTCTTATGTTCACTGTCTTAGATACTAGGAACTCTACGCTCAGAAAGATTTCACAACTTTTACAGCTAGGACTGGGGTCGTCCTGGGAACAGCTGTGACTCGGTTGGTTTGTGTAGTTTTATTATTTTATGCTGTATCCTAATGATTGTGATTAAAAAAAAAATACTGAGTATCCCCCTGGTAGGTTTAGAAATTTCTCCTTTCATAGTTCCTCCACCTCCCTGCCCCCACCCCCGAGGAAGGCAACCCTTGCTAAGTGTCTAACAGGTACTTTACCAAACCTTTAAAACTGACAGTGATTTCACTGGATTTTATTGCCCTGTTTCTTGATGCTATTTTGAAAAATAAGATTGATTAATCATCCCAGGACTTTCCTAAGAAAGGCTTATCAGTGTATTCCAAATAAATCCAGCAGCTCATATCCCAGCAGCTGACTTCTAACAGGACCGACCAGCAGAAGACAGGTAAAGTTTGCCCCATCAGGTATCCTAGATTCTTAAGCTTGTTTGGAAGTCACATCAGAGGCTTATTCCTCACCCAAAGCTATACCTCTGTCTCACCCTGGAACAATGCTACCTCCTGGAGTTTGGAATGAGGTGGAGGATTTTCTTTAAGGTGCTATTATTTTTGTAAAACAAAATGAAGTTAAGAAATGTATAAAAGGTAGGCAAATCGTGTGAAGTCCTCTTGAGGGATATACAACGGTAAGGTTTTGCTTCGTCCAGAAAGGAGAAACATTTCTCTCACTGTGTCATCACAGAAGATTGCTTGGTTTGTGTCAGGGTGTAGAGCCGGGGCAGAGTGACTGGTGTGCAGCCCTGTCATCTCACATGTAGCCCTGCTGGAGACCAGGAGAGAGAATATTCAAGACAGTTAAATGATACAGGTGAACATGATGAGAAAGGAAATGGAATTATCTTAAAATAAGATACCGGAATGCTAAGGGTGACTTCCCTTGGGTGATGTGCCCTAAAGGATCTGTAGCCAGGCTTGGATGCCCAGGAGAGCATCCCAGTCAGGATTGTGGGGTGGAAAGTAAGAAGGAAGTCAGTGCTCACTGCTGGTGGCACAGGCTGCAGCTGTGTCACTGGAGCTTCAAGAGCTCTAAGGCTCCGTTTGCATCCTGGGGCAGCCCCCACTTATGCTTGCACACCATGCCAACATTCTAGCAAGAGGAACTGCCTTCTTGCTTCGGATTCTCCTCCATGTATGGCTGTTTGTTTAAATAGTGAGAGTAATACACTCATTCTTGATTCCCAAACCAGTCAGGGGTCAGATTTTCAAACTCATCAAGAAAAAAAATGGAGAAAGAAGGGGTCATTTGAGATCAGGATGCTTTTACCAATTCAGTCACATTAAAATTAGAATTTTGGAATGCAGAAGGGCATCTAAATGGTGTACAGGGAAAATTAATACCCAGCCAGTATGTAAGCATGAAGAACTATACCAATGAAAATTCTAGTTACACCAATTCTCATTTTTTCATTTTGCAACTTTTCATAAAAGTTGGGTAAATTAATTATTTATGCCAAGTCCCTACCTTGAAATAAAAAATCTAGTAAGAATATGACCACATTCATTGCATTCCATCATTACTTACTCTGGGAAAAAATTCCATAGCCCCAAATCACTGAAACTTGTTAGCAATTTCCCTGCTAAAACTCACTGAAACCTTATATTGTTCCAGCTGTCTTTTGCTCACATGAGCAGTTCATTTCCCAGCTATCTCTTATTCAGTAGAAATTCATAAAGAACTCATAGGCTGTAATGCTAATTAATACCTGCCTAAGGGTCTGAAAGCAGGTTTAAAAAGTGAACCTGGAGACAAGTTATTTTTGTTAGCTTTGAGTTGGGTTTTTATGAGAAGTTATGCATGAATGTATTTGATCAAAACAGCTGATGTTGAATAGTGACTAGAAAACTTTCTTCTAAGTAGCTGTAAAATCTTGCATAAGGACTTTCTCTTTTCTCCTTTTTTTAACTAGTGCATTTTCCTATAAATGTGGCAGAAAAAGAAAACCCCAAGTTTCTAATGCTCACCTTTGAGGCCCCCTGCAGACTGAAGGAAGGAGCTCTTCAGCGGATGCCCTCAAGGAGCCAACGTGCCTTGCAGAGACGTGTGTGTGTCCTTTCCACCTGTATTATGCTGTGCAGTTCCAAGTGTTTTTTAATACTGTACAAAGACACTCAAATTATCCAGAGTATTTTTATATGATGTTGGGTGAATTAGAGTTTATAATGCTATTGAAGTTTCTGGGAACACATAATAGGTGGGCGGTTTAGCCAGGAGCCTGTTGTGTGCAAGCTCCTCCTGAGGTTTTTTTCTTAAGTTGGAGCAGTGCCTCTGACCCATTCAGTTAGAGAGGGGTGAGAGAAGCCCCCACCAAATCCTCAGGACAGCTCCATCAAGAATGTAGGATATGCAGACCATGGATGTGGGGAAAGTGAACAGAAATGGCTCATCAAACACGATCAAGGAACTAAGGCTCTGAACTAAGTGTTCTGAAAATTCCAAGAAGGATGGAGACCTGGGAATCCTGTTCATGAAGAGGTTGCATCTAAGGACCTTGGACCCCATGGGATGGAGCCTTTGTTTTCTCTTCTCACCCTGAGTCCATAAGCAACATAGCATCTGGGTTTGCAGACATGTTCAGGCTTGTTCCAAGCATAAGAACAAATCTGCTGTATAATTTCAGGATTTGGCGCTATTATTTATAAACTCAGGTTTGGTCCTGAGGTGATCTGGTATAGTTTTGGTCCTGTAGTGGATACTTAGTCATATATTCAATCCTTTACCGAACAAAACCCCTGGAGTATGATTTTGTGAGTCTTAAGATTTTATTCATAAAGGGGTATTTATCTTATATTTGTGTGTTCAGTTCTATGATGATGCCTGTGGTCAAGAGTGAAAACTATGGACAGTTTGCATTCAATCTTGACACTTTTAACTTGTCTTGGAAAGAAACTTTCATTTTAACTTAAAAGAAAGGTTGATTATACCCACGTGTAAAAGAATTGGCAGAAGCTTTATTAAGTGACTTTATAGACATGAATAAGAGATTTGATCTTTCTTTTTTGTTACTGAGACTTTGAAATGTGCAGCTTAAATACAAATATGCTATCTTTTTCTGATGTTCTGCTGTATATATTTGTTATATTTTCAGATTCAGTGTGTATCTTATGCAGAATTTTTTAATGAATTATTTTGTGTGAACAATCAAAATGGGCAACAAAGGGAAATCTTGCCAATGAGGAAGAACACGTGACAATATGTATGATGTGTGTGCTAATTGTAAGCCTTTAATCCTTAAAGCACATCAGAAATGAGTATGAATGTGTTGTTTTTCAATGAGCTAAACACCATTCTTTGAGGATTTAATACTGCATTCACCCTTTATTCATGCACATTTTTGCTTTCTTTGCATTTCTCTTTGCTGTAGGATGACTTGCTCCTTGATACTATTCACCTCTGAATTGTATTTTGAGTTAATAATTTGGTTGCAGTAACAATAAAAAATTTTAAATTCTCAAGAAAAATCCAATGTTTATTCTTTATCTTCCTTTCAACATGTGCCACTGTAAAACACTCTTCCCATGTGACAGCGTGTACTGCATCCCCGAGCACCCAATTAGTGATGGGAATTAGGTGCTCTATCTTCAATATATGTCGTTGTTCCTTTGCAGGCTGTTGGCACCATTCCTAGACTCCAGGGCGAACCAGGATAACATTTTGACTCTCAGCTGGTCTTGCCTCGTACTTCAATTGCCCAGTTCACTTCACGGTGTACAACTCTCTGCCCGTTGTTCCATGCGCTGGGCTAAAGTCAAGTTGTCAGTACCAATTCATCCCCAAGAATAGAACCAGTTCTTATGACTCCCCATACATGCTGCAGTTTTGCAAACATTCTTGTCAGCGCCAGAAAAAAAGACATTAAAGATGTATGTCAAGCTATCTTTTGCTGACATATAGTAAATATATGGGTGACTTACTAGGACTTCTCTATGATCTTACAGGCTTCTTATCCTTTATGAAACTATTCCATGAGAAAGTACAGAATCACTTAAGCCTGTTAGAGTTACACTGTTTAAAATTGGTAGCATGAACAAAGAACATGAGAACAATAAAGATCAAAACAATTGAAGTACAGAGTTTATTTCCAAGAACTGTCACAGCTGTAGTACCTTATTATTACAGGATGCAGCAGTCCATGGGCAAAAAGTTTATCCATAATAATACTAAAAAATGTTGCAGCTTGGCCGTAGATGGTAGCTAAGTACAGTGTCTTAGTTTGATTATTGTCAATTATTCCTGAGCATGCTAAATTCCCTACTCCTGTTCCAGCTTTTAGATACGTTGATGCTTCATTTTGTCTCTCATCCAGTTAATTATTTCTCATTATTCCTTCAATCCAAGTCACAAACCTTGAGACACGAACATAGACACCAGGCTTATTGGGGCGTGCACAACCAAGACCCCAAGAAGTGACTCCTTGTAAAACGTACTTGTCCTTCTCAAAGCAAACCAGAGGCCCTCCACTGTCACCCTGTACAGAGGGAGGGGAGAAGGCATGTGAGGGTCAAACAACCATTCTGGTGTTACGGGAGGTCATCCTTCTATTATGCAAAAGCAAGTTTTCCCAGTATTCAAACATTCGTTTCCAATCAGAGAGGAACTTATTAACATATTATTTGAACATCTGCCATGCTTCAGTACTTAGGAAAGTATAGTCAACAGAACAAAGTTTAGTGTTTCCTGGGGAAAAATTCCCTTGGAACTATTGTATTCATCCTTTCCTGCCTTGGGGTTTCTCTTAGGCAGGATAACCCCAGAACAACTGTAGAGTAGGTACAGCTGGCCTGTCTCCTAAACCTTCCTTTTTCTCCTGACTGGAAAAGCTACGACCCAAGTCCCATCCCCCCAGCACATTCCCAGAAGGTATGCAGGCTGTGGCTCCATACAACCCATCTGGAGCTCAGGATCCAAGAACTCCCTTGATGATCAGAAGCGGCATTCATGGACAGACCTAAATGGTTGGTCTTCGGTTGACAAAACCTTCTTGAATTTGCTGCTTTGGAGCTGAAATGTCTAAGGGGCAAAGACAGGCCAGCACAATTTAACTTAGACCTCTTTAGTCTCTGCTTACCTGGCAACTATCAGTGCCTCCGGCCAAATGTCCAGCGCAAAGCTCCGTGGACTTAACTTTTCCATTCAGGTACTCATAGCGATTGCACACTTTATTCTCAATCACAGGCAGCTGGGCTTCCTTCAGGAGACCAGCACCAAAGGTGCCTGTGTTCAAGAAAATCCGAGAAATGGTTATTGCATACAAAATGTGTTCACAAGGAAGCTTCCAGAACAACAGAGCAATAATGATAGATCTCTCGCTTGTCCATGAGGTTGGATAACAGAGAGTGTCAGTTCCTAAGACACTAGCACTCTTCTTTCTTTTGATCCTTGAAAGTATAAACATTATATAAGATTTCACATTCCCAAAACCTAAACTTAATAATCTGGGCTTCTTTATGGTGTTTTTGGACTTGGGTTGTTTTTGTTTTTTTTTTCCTTTTTCTTAAACCATAAAGAAAAATTTTTTAATATGTAAAGTGAGATTGAGAAATACAGCTGCTACTGTTTTTGTGTATTGTCTTTCAGGCTTTTATGTATGTTTCTTTTACTACTTACATCATATTGCACAATTTGAAAAAAATATCTCACAATATTACATTATAAGGACTTTTTTTAAAATAATGCTACAACTTCACAAGTAATATTTTAATGGGGAGTAACCGCTTAAAGGGTATGGGATTTTCTTTTGGGTTGGGGGAAGTGTTCTGGGGACAGTAGTGAAAGTTGCACAACATTTGAAATGTATGAAATGCTGCTGAATTGTACTCTTCAAAATAGTGAAAATAGTAAATTTTATGTCATCTATATTTTTCCACAATGTTAAAAAAAGAATAGGTATCATTTCCTGAGAATTAACCTTTATAGACACGAGTTCAGTCTCTGGTGCATTTCATTTAATCCCCAATTTAATCAGCCTATGAAATAGGTACTTTTGTCATTCTTGTTGTACAGTTAAAGAAACTGAGGCTTAGAGAGGATGTGCAGTTTGCCCAAGATCACCCAGCAATTAGGTGGCGGAGCTGGGATTTGAACCTGTCTGTGACATCCTTGCCCAAATTCTGCACTACCACGCTCGTTGGCTCCTACAGTTGCTTCTGATGTTCCACATCTTTATTCATACAGTCATTTCTGTTCCTTAATGTTTTCTTAAGTCTAAGTTCCCAGAAATTATATAGACTTATTTATGGCTCCCCATAAATTACCAAATTATTTTCTACAAGTATAGGACAATATAAAATGTCACTAGAAAAAAAATCACTTCACCACATCCTTTTTGAGTATTTAATATTTTAAAATTATTTGTTTATATATATGAGCTATTTTCTAATAATAGGTAGAAATTGTCCTAGTTCATTTCCTAATTCAGATTTCTTTTCCAATTAGGGAAAGTAAACCTTCTCCCATGTGCTTGTTTGACTCATATTTCTTCTTTTGTGAAAAACTCCTTTTTTTTATTTTGGCAAATTAAAATAGAACACTTGTAAAATCACCAGAGGAAATGCTGTTTTTCCAGATGGACACACCCGGGTATATCTTGGTGATTTCACAAATAATCCAGTTTTCCAATTTTGCAGGGCCAGCTTTTACTAGAGTTTTCAAAAATCTTTGCTTTGCTAGCAGCCAAGAGATGAGGTACTGTTTCTTCTCCAAAGACTTTGAATACACTTAGATAATTAGAGTTTGGAAAACTTAACCCTCGCTGTGCAGAGGTTTGTCCCCACCCTGGCTGGCAGAGCCACTCTGGAAGCAGGGCCTGAGCAGGGAAGCCTTGAGTTTGAGGGGTGAGGGTGCATTACTTGAATTGAGTAGGGGTGTGGAGGGTGTCTCAAAATATGTTGCTGGCAATTATTCAAGTGTTCTGCTCTTGCATCTGCTTTCTGAGAAGACAAACATCCTGACGCTAGTGACAAAAGCCACAGCTCCTTGATGTGGTCTGTGTGCACGTGCTGCCATCCTGTGGCCAAGGTAGAGATGGCAATTCTGAGGGCTCAGAGGCTGAGGGGTGACTGAGGCCAAGCCCAGGTGGGTGCAGGGGCGCGGGGAGGAAGCAGGACCTCTGAAAGCACCCAGTGACTGCTGAAGAGGGGTTGAACTGAATGAGCCCCTGGCCTCACACTTACCTGGCTTTGGAATATCACAGTCAGGCTCCAGGGAATGTCTGGAGGTTCTGACCTCACACCAAGAGGCTGAGGACACTGGTCTGATGTTGACACAGAGAAAACGGGTCAACAGGCTTGACTCATGTTTTGTGGTTCTGCCTGGTCCAATGAATATACTGAGAATCATCCTCTCAGGAGACATGTGGGTGAGGCCGGAGATGGGGGAGCTCTGTGCAGGACAGTAGTTAGAAAAGTGTGGGTGGTAGGTGAGACAGAAGAAACAGAATGGGCTTGGGGTCAGACAGGCCTGGGTCTCATCAGGACTCAGCTAGCAGAGGCTATATGACCTTTATTGATCATGACAGTGATGACAGAGAGGGTTGGGTGTTGATGATTGTGGGGAAAATGGAAGTGCCTATGGCCAGGATGCCCACCTGACCCTAACCTACTTGATGATGTAACTGGCCTCCAGCTAGGCTAATGTTCCCACACCTGTAGGCAATAAGCTATTATTGACTAGTCACTATATAAAGAGCTCTGCCCAGGACTGTTGCGGGAGGCAGACACGAGGAGGATTACAGACCTGCGGACTGTGGGATGCAGGCATGATTCTAGTGCTTCACCCATCGCCAGGAGAACAAGCCAGGTAATAAATTCTTTTACTCCAAGAACGTTCCATTGTCATTCCTCAGTCTCACTGAGTCCATAATGAACTTGTCTGGGGCTGAAACCCATTGGCAAGACAGTGATAATAGTGATAGTGGTGGTGCTGGTGGTGCTGGTGGTGATGATAATGGTGATGGTGGTGACAGTTGTGGTCATATAATGAGCATAGGAGGTGTTAAAATACCACCGCCAAAGCACTGAGCACTTCATACACAGCGTCTTAATCCTCACAAGGACTTGATAGGGTAGCACACATGAGAAAACTGAGGTTTAGAGAGATTAAATAACTTCCTAATGTCCCATGGAAGATGGTAGAGCCAGAATTTACACCCAGATCCATATGATTTAATCAGTCAGATATAGAAGACATCTGTCGGTTTTCTGGCTGCTTAGCAAGTTTTCACCCTCCATCCCATAATCCTGCAGAGGGCTCTACCCTGGGCCCCTTCTGGGTGGGCGTGGCATTCTCGGGTGCAGGTGATGCAGGG